GGTAGTTATGTTATAAAAGGGGGATGGTTGTAGTTGTTAATGACCTTGGGTGGAATGTGTGTTGGTTTTGTGAAGTGAGTATCGTGAATTATGGTGTGTTATTTTATTTTAAGTGAGTATTATTTAAAGTGATTTATGGTTTGTTATTTTATTTTAAGTGTGTATTATTTTAAGTGATTTATGGTGTGTTATTTTATTTTAAGTGAGTATTATTTTAAGTGATTTATGGTGTGTTATATATTTTAAGTGAGTGTCGTGATTTATGGTGTGTTATTTGAGTTAAATGTTATATATAGGAGAGTGGTGATGTTAATATTGGTAATACCTTTGTAATAGATTAATGTGATTAGGAAGGTAGTTATATGTTCTGATTACAGGGGTTAAAAATGAATGAGTATATATACTCTATTCACTTGAAGGCCTACAAAACCCTAGCTTTGTAGTCTTTTTTAGGATTTTTTTTTTTCATTACATTTTAGCATCCCAGTTACAAAATATATTGAAGTAAATGTTTGGAAATTCCAGTGAGGGACTTTATCTATGTACTGTGATTATATTTGTTTTATCAAAATAATCTTAAAACGTACAAAACCCTCATCAATGCTGAAAGAGCTTTGACTAGTTCATTAGAAGGTGATTAAATTGCCAGCAAGCTCTATTTTACTACATTTTATATGGTGAAGTGTTGTTGGGTTTTATAGGAAAGTATTAGTTAATTATGGCATTACTAATATGTGTGTTGTATAGCTTTTTGGTTTCTAAAAATAACTCTTGATGATAAGGCTTTCAAAACAGGTTTTATATTGCACAGATATATTAGTAGTAATCTACTCTAATCCACTGTAATGAATGAATTACTGAGTTTCAACATGACAGCATATTCTGGCAGAGAGAGAGTGAAGCGATTCCTTATTTGACGAGGCTTACGAGCTTTATCTTGTGGTAGGGGTTAGTGGAGGATAATTGAGTTTTTTTCGTGGATTATATAATTTACCTCGCCGTACTAATGTTTAACTAACTTAATTTAAACTACTCTAATCGTGCATGAGCTATCCGTGGAAAACTATATACACTATACGTTACAGTTACATACGTAACTGGAAATATAAATGAAAAAGAGTTTATGTACCATTACAGAATCTTCACATGAATGTATAATGCCTATATCAACTATCAATGTAAATATGCCTTTGCCGTTATCCATATCTTTACATATGTCTGCATCTTTAGTTGATAATCGTCCAGAATAGAATGGTATCAAGTAATACTACAGCCTATACACTTCACACATTATAAGATACCAGTTTAATTATGGCTATTTTGATAACCTTAATTTCTCTAGCGACTGAATTTAAATTTGATTTCAGCTTCCACCCAGAATATCATTACTATTTTTTCCAGGCTGTGAAAGGGATTTGAAAAAATGGAGTTTGTCATAGGGGCGACAGCAGCCTGTGGGGCATGTATTTTCTCCAACCCCATGGATGTGCTCAAGACGCGCATGCAGCTACAAGGGGAACTGAAGGCTAGAGGGCAGTACACCATTATCTACAGGAACATAATTCATGCTGGTATTGCTGTAGCGAAGGTGTGTTGTCGGTGTAGAATCCTTACACTTTATAATGATATATTTGATATAGTAAAATGTTTTAGGAGTAAGTTTTGTTTGTGAGAAAATTTGATAAGTTGTGGATTTTTTTTTTTTTAGTTTAGAGGTTGTGTTTCAAATTTCACCCAGTTTGTAATGTATTTATTTTGAGTGAAACAGAAGCATCGTAGTTATAGTTCTCTTCATTTTCTTCTATCAGATAAACCTTATCTTTCATATAAAACTTATGAATTCTTTTTTAGATTCTTTAAGAACATACATACATATATGTCATTCTACCATTCCCTCTTTCAAAGATATTTACAATCGTTATTTAGTCTTTATTTCCACCCAATATATCAGAAATTCTAAACAAACCCAGGGTGAAATCAAGAAACGTTTCAGTAATGTGAACTACATTTCTGTGAAAGAATACCCTCACCAGATCCCCTTTTTCAGGCTGATGGGATATCGGGACTCCAGAAGGGACTAGTGCCGGCTCTTTCATACCAAGTAGTCATGAATGGAATGCGCTTTGGACTGTACAGAAGGATCCTCGACTCAGGAATCATATCGCGTGCTGATGGCAGTGTGTCGTCGCTGGGTTGCATTGCAGCTGGAGCTTTTGTGGGCGTGGTTGGTGGTGTAGTCGGAAGTCCTTTTTATCTTGTGAGTAATAGGTCGTGGTTTTAGTAATGTTTTTTGTTTAAGATATTTTGAATATTAGATTGCTGATTTGGATTTATTATTGATCATGATACCTGATACATTTTTGATGATTCATGCCTCCCTCTGTTCATGATGATAATTCCACCCAAGTCTGATATATAATGTGCTAGGTTTGTATATTGTGTTTCTAATATTTTATTTTCACTTCTTTAGGTGAAGACTCACCTACAATCACATGCAGCTGAGTCAATTGCTGTGGGTCACCAGCACAAACATGAAGGTATCTTTGCTATTTGAGATGATCATGGACGTTAATTTTCCAGTAGAGAAATATAATCATTTATTTTTCTGTATTGGAGGTATTACATAGATAAAGTCTAGTCTGTAGTAACGAATGACTCTTTTCAAGCTTCTTGATTCTCCCCCACAATTTCAGGACTCTTATCTGCACTGCACAAAATTTTCAATCAAGAAGGTGTCAAGGGATTATGGAGAGGAGCAACCACCTCCATACCTAGAGTCGGTGTTGGTTCAGCTGCACAGCTCTTTTCTTACTCAAAAAGCAAGGATTGGCTCGACCATTATGGGGTGAAAATGGCTTGGTTTTTGTATTCTAAATTGTAGACGTTTGGTTGAGTATGTGGAGGTGCAGTACTTTAGGATCTTGGAAAGTATTGAATTTTATATTGTAAAATGATAGGTGCTTTTTGTGTATGGGGGGAATAGTGAAAGCAAAAGTTTAATTGATCCTTTTGGTGCACTGTTCAAAATCTGAGAGGGACTTATGAATTACTAATGATAAATTGGGGTGTAGATACCCAAAAAATCGAAAAAATATTAAGACCTTTATAAGCCAGCATACCTTTTTTTTATTTCCCCTTTCTCCAAAATAGAATTTGAGATATTTGCTTTTATATAATCAGGAATGTATTTTATTGTAAAGAGCATATTTTAGGGTCAAGAATATATATTTTTAGCTAAGAATATCTCTATAGTTAAGAGATTATTTCATAGTTGAGAAGATATGCTGATAATGAGTATCTTATACTCAAGTTAAAGATTTACCTTTTAGCAAAGAGTATATTTCATGGTTATGGAAGTATTGTATTGTAAAGATTGTTGTATCAGCTATGCCTGCTTCACTTAGATTTATTTATCTTTCAGTTGTATCCACGAGACAGTTGGCAAAGTACATTTGTTGGTGCTATGGTTAGTGGCTTAGTGATTGCATCATGCATGAGTCCCTTTGATGTTGTTGCAACAAGAGTTTATAATCAAGGTAAGCTTTGCCTTTTTGGTAGATAATATGATAAATGACAAAGAATATGGACATATACTTTAATTTTTTTCTTCTTCTTTTTCATGTGTGTAAAATACAGATATAATCTTTTGAAAGGCATTTATTTTTTCACCATTCTGTGTGCTTACGGAATCATACTGAACCTGAGATAATTTTTCTTCCTTTAGTAGTTGTGATCAGTATCTCTTCGAGTTCATATGACGTCAATATAGTCTTATCACTTTATTTTCCGCCCCCTTTTCTATAAATTTTTTTATTTTGATTTTTCAATTCATACGAAACTCACACTCAGGACTGGACAAACACGGCCGTGGGTTGCTATACAAGGGGATCACTGACTGCATTGTGAAGATCTACAAGACAGAGGGTGTATGGGGCTTCTACAAGGGCTGGTCTGCTATTTACTTCAGGATTGGTCCGCACAGCTTCCTCAACCTCATATTCTGGGATCATCTGCAGAAACTCTTTCTAAAAGTGAGTCTCATTGATGGAGAAGAAGGGGAAGTTAGCACAGAAGAACCGATAAGAGTCGAGGGTATTGGTTCACCGAGATCTGATGGGAGCGATGGGGAAAAAGTGCACGATTCTCTCCTACCATCTATTTCTCTTCACTTTGATACGATAAGAACAATTCCAAGGGATGCTGTACATCAGTCAGAAGAGGGGTTAGATGTGGCACCCGTCCATCAGTCACTGGGATAACTGCGTAAAAAGAATGTTGTGCTGTTGTGATTTACAGGTTTGGGAAGATTCTTGGTGATAGATATTTTGGAATCTCATCTTCAAAGTTTTTCACTCTTGTCTTTCTCTCTTTCTCTCTTTCTCTCTTTCTTCCTCTCTCTCTCTCTCTCTCTCTCTCTCTCTCTCTCTCTCTCTCTCTCTCTCTCTCTCTCTCTCTCTCTCTCTCTCTCTCTCTCTCTCTCTCTCTCTCTCTGTTTCTGTCTCTCTCTCTCTCTGTTTCTGTCTCTCTCTCTGTCTTTATCTTTATCTTTCTCTTGCATGTAGACATGCTGATATATCATGACTGATGTACAGTTTACCCAGAACAACATGCCTTATTTTTTTCTTCTTTTCCTAATATAATTTTATGGGAAATAGCAGTGCCTGTAGGGTTTGCTTATTTAACAATATTATGGAATACTGTGATGAATATTTGCTCATACTATATTCTTTAGGCTTTGGGATTATTAACATTTTGTCATCCTTCATAATTAATAAATAATAGCATTCATTAAAACCATTCATCAGCAATGTCATTTATTCTTGCTACCACAGTTCCCTTCTATTTAATCACCTCAATATATCAGCTGTGGTGGTTGGGCTCCAGTTTCCTAACTAATTATGAATGATCACTTATTTACATTCCCTCTCTGTAGTCCTGTGATTAAGATTGTTAATTAATTATAAGCCACTAACAAGGGAAAATGCTTTCTTTTCAGTACAGGGAAGAACATGATGCCGATAAGAATGGATCATGACCTTGAAAGTGAGTTTATTGCTTAGCGTAATGCAGGTAATCATATAGTAGTTGGAAGTTATTATTAAGATGTCCATGTAAATGTACTGATATATAATTCTTGCACGGTTAATTGCCTTAGCTAAAGTGTATGAACAGCACAAAAAAGTGTCATATATTTTATTGTTATTAGTTGTTTTGTGTATAGAATATTTTTGTATAATAGATTTTATTTTATAGGTGTAAATAATCTTGTATACTAATTTGTTTTTCATGAAAGCGATCTGTTGTGTAGATTTTTTAATGCAAGGAGAATAGTGCTCCATCAGAAGTTTTGTATATTCTACTTAAATCATACAAATTTTAGTTATTTTTATATTCCACTTTTTTTTTTTTTTTTATCTCATTGAGATACTGTTCAGGAATATAAGTTCCGGAACATTAACTATTAGTTGCAAAGATTTTGATTGCAAATAACATTTATTATCCATCATAATTTTGTCATATAAAGTGCTCATGTAACTTCCTTTACATATAAATGCAAAGATAACTGAATATTTTTTTGCTAGTCAATACTCCCATGTAGTACTGAAAAGTACAAGATATTAAATGAGGCATCAGGGAACACAGTGGCATGTGACTGAAAATACAGTAAGCTGATACATTGCAGAATCAAAGTACAATATCAAATATCAATGTAAAGAAATACAGAAACTTGCTTCGGGCAGAGCTTGAAAAGTCACTTACAGCAGAGGTTCGTTGTCCTTGTACATGTATTGAATTGTATTATAACATATTAGCGTATTAGTGCAATGGTGTGTTATTAATGGTAAGGTCCAAGACAATTACATTAAGAAACACTATTGGTATTTGCTGTCATTATTTTTTTCACAATTTTTCATGTGAAAGTAAGAATCAACTTACTGGAAATAAAAAAAATAATTAGAAAGTATGAGAAATTCCAACTATGAATTCATCGTCTTTTATAAAACTTCTTTCAATCTATAATTTTTTTCGTGATAATGTTAAAGACACATAGTTGGGAAAAAGATGGAAATCAACAAAGAACGCTTTTTATGTGTCACTGTGTTTCAAGTTGCAACTAATATAAAAGGGTCCATATGTTGCATCATTACACAAAGAATAATAGTCACAACATTTATGAAAAATTTGTTTTTTGTTGTTGTTTTATGAGTAATGATTTTTTTTCTGTTTTATATAGAAAGCATTCAAGTTTATTAGTGAATATATCTTGCAGATTCTTTTTTTCATGTATATATAGAGACAGTCAGCCATATTGTATTTGGTTAAAAAGAAAATTCAAATTATAGCCACAGTGTATTATTAGTAAAACAAAAGGCTTAATTACAGTTGAATATATATCTTGAATCTGCACTCATTTTACAATTTTTGCAAAGTAATAATAAACATTTGATTATGACATTTATTTTTTTATAATTAGAAATATATGTAACTATGTTGAGAGTGGTATTCCACATATATAATCACTGAAATTGTTTGTTGCCAGGTTCAAAGACCTTTCTAAGCAGTTTATTTTGCATGTAGTCAGTGGAAATACCTATATCACTGTTCCCAAATTTAGAGATGGTATAATCATATATATATATATATATATATATATATATATATATATATATATATATATATATATATATATATATATATATATATATATATACATACATATACATATACATACATTTAAAGTAATTTTACTGGTAATAATTTGTTTAAGATAATCATTGAGATTTTCAGTAACCTTTAGTTTCTTCTTAGTGTAGTATTGTCCAAAATCTTGTTTGCACTACGCAAGTATTATTACAAGCAAGATATTATGTAAAATCAATTGTATACTGTAATGGTAATTATAGAGGTTTGGTTCCTAGTGTAAGATCACTATAAAAAATAATGTCATATTTTTCTATGTTGCAAGGGATTATATACATGTTAAACACTTTATTTTTATTTAACATTTGTAATGTATGTTATGTAAGACCTTGCCTAAGAGAGAATACAGTGTAAAAGAGAAAGTTGTGAAATAAGACACAGGAGCAGTAGAGAAAAAATAATTTAAAATGTTAGAAAGATGCATGTTTTAACCATCTTTATTGCACAAACAGATAAGCTAAAGTGTATTGCAGCTTTTATGCAGAATATCTCCACAGTACATTTTTAGTCCTGAGTTTGTGTGTTAGAAAATGTAAAAAAGAAAACTTTTTAATAAGCAGGAGTAATGCAATTTATTCTTGATGATGTTTTTATAGATAGATTGTTTTTTTTAAGTGAACAAAAGGTTAATTAAAATAAAATGAGGATTTTGAGTGTAAGAGTCTCTTTGCTAATAGGAGCTTGCGTTAGATCCAGTTCATTAATAAGAAGATAATGAAAAAAGAGTGCTCAATATACTGAATTCAGTATTAATAAAATAAGCATGATACTTGGAACCAGAAAAAAAGCACATGCATATATACACAGTATGTATTAACTGTAAGACCAATTATCTTTTAATAATTGTTGTATTTGTATTTTACACTGCACCTCAGTCCACCTTGCCAAAAATTGGGCAGTGTTCCAATAGTAGCCTTTTGTGCCAATTGAAAATGGTACAAGTATTTGTATTTGCCCCACTGTGCTGGGATGACATGGCATACATTCCATGTCTGCTGTGATTTTTGTTTATTGTTTATACTTAGATTGGTTCACAAGTACTTAGTCACCTTGGGTTTCCTTACTAGTTCTACCTTTCTCACCTATTTATCAATCTTTTCTTCTTTTTATTGCTTTTAGTATTTCCATAATGTAATAATCATAATATCAATAATGATAACAGTAAAAGAATACTACTGATATTAATAGGAAATAATATAATCCAATACAAAAAACAAGGAATGGGGAAATCAGGTGGTTATGTAGAGCCTATTAAGTGACTCATTGAGGATTGAGGACTTGTGAAGCCATCTGTGTGATGCAAAATTCGCAAAAAATACAGCGGAAAGTACATGTACTCGTGGCCAGTGGGCTAAAAAAGTGTTAGAAGCATTATGTTTACACAAAAGACCAACACAAATATCACAATGATCAATTAAATGAGCCAAATTCACTGTAGTTTGATTCTTTTCCTTTTCTGTATAAAGGGATGTGGTTTTAGTAAAGTAGTAAACATTGAGGCTGAGTGAAATAAAATATTGTACTCTCTAAAATCCCTACAAAAAGTAATATTGAAATAAAATAAAATTGCATGAATAATGAAAGTCTAGAATTATATTTCACTACTCAGTTGATATCATACTATGCAAAAACTTTATTATATGTAGATCTAGAAGACAATAGAAGTAATATTTGATATACTGCATTTAATGTTACTATCATGGTTACTGGACCTTACTTTAAAGGTTCTATTCCAGATTAAGATACTTTTGTAACTAAGTAACAACAAAAAAACAATTATTGCAAAAGTAAGTGAATTTTCAGACTTGATTAGTGACAGATTTTGAGTAAATCCAGCTTACATACTTTTCTGTTACCATGAATAAAGCATTTTTGATCTAATATACAAGTGTCTGGCAGATTCTAATTACATTTTATGTGAATATTCCAATCATCTATTTAATGGTTAAAAAAGAAAGACAAACCAGAAAAAAAAATATTTAATATAAAATCATATTAAAGTAAGGTATATTTACAACTTACACAGTCAACAATATAAATATACAATTCACTGAAAGGGAATGCTGAAAGCAGGTGGTATGAAGAAATAAGACAAACAAAATTTAGGTAACATTAACATAGTAATTTTTAAACATAAAAAATCAACCATTTCTTTGTCTCTGGATTAATACATCATTTTTCAACATCAGAGAATTTCTTTCTCTCTGGATTTAGACATCACATTTCAACATCGAAAATCAAGTGTTTGTTCTCTCTGGATTTATACATAATTTTCTCTTTCAAGAAGATTTCTTTCTTTCTCTCTGGATTTATACATAATTTTCTCCTTCAAGATTTCTTTCTTTCTCTCTGGACTTATACATCACTTTTCAACATTGAAGAAACAACTATTTCTTTCTCTCACAATTTTTTACACACAGATTTTAATTTACACTATTATTTTCTACTCCACTGGTTGAATTAGAGGTCGAAGTTCTTCACAGTTCTTTACTCTCTTGAGATGCCAGTTCACATATCTGTAGTGTATAAACAAAAACTACAATTATAATGATAATACTAAAACTACTGTTAATATCATCACTAGTAATACTTTTGATATCAATATTAAGAATAATAAAAACATGACAATTAGTATTTCATTATTGCCCTCAATAGATATTACTATAAATACTGCCCCTATAATATTATTATTAATCAAACTACAGAATAATATAAAGAAAAATATTAATATATAGAAAAATAATAATACAAAGAAAAATATTAATATATAGAAAAATAATAATATAAAGAAAAATATTAATATATAGAAAAATAATAATATTAAGAAAAATATTAATAAATAGAAAAATAATAATATAAAGAAAATTTGCATAATCCATAGATATGCTACTTACCCAAGAATAACTGTGGAAGTTCCCAGGCAACCCGCAGCCAAGAGGAAGGTCGCTCCAGGATGATTGAGGGAGACAAAGATAGGATAGAGCATGTCAAAGATCAGCGACCCCATTAACAAAGACAGCTGAGCCATTGCCGATACGATCGTCATGACACGACCTGCGAGAGAAAAGGGATGATGGAGATTTGTCATAGTGCTTTATGATGGAGATTTGTCATAGAGCTTTATGACAGAGATTTGTCATAGAGCTTTATGCATGTGGGTTTATTGTTCTTCAGTCTTGTAAAAAATAAATAAATAAATAAATTAAAAGATTAATAATAATGATGATGATAATAATAATAATATTCAGTATTTTATTGCTTTTTGCTGTTGAATTTTTTCTTGATCTGGATTCACTGT